CAGCTGTACCTTCTCCAAGTACACCATGCTGCCTTCCTTGGACTCCAGCTTTGTGCTCCCAGGCTGGGTGGAGAGAGGTTCACCTGCCCAGGGAAGAGGACAGCAGCCTCCTCTCAGGCTCCCAGCAGGACCAGTTCCCACCCAGAAGCTGGATACTGCTCCAGATAAGGCACTCCTTGCTCCAGGGAAACCAACATCTGGGTCAACACACGTAGGGAGGGGGATGAGGCTGAGGACAAGGAGCCTACCATCCTTCCACCAGCTCAGGGTGGGGAAGGGGATCCCATGGCACTCGCAGTCCAGGCTGACAGACTGCCCCTCCAGCACGGACACAGTGGCAGGCTCTGCCGAGGAGAAGGATGGAGGCACTGCAGGGATGAGAGGAGAAGCTCACTGAAAGCACCAGAGGAGAGGAGAGGGGTAGGTAGCTCCATCCTGCTGGCTACACACCACCTGCTGCTCTGCTGGGTGCAGCACAAACCCCAGGAAGGCTCCACATGGAAACAATAATCTTGTCTCTCCAGCTATTAAGCAAGTGATGCTTTTAATTGCACGTGGCCCACAGCAGAGGATGACCAAGCATCCCACACTAGGCACACAGACACGCCAAGGTCAGGTTGGCCAGACACAGCCTTATTAGACAGCCCTCCTCACTGGGAAGGTTACCCAACTCTTTCCATTATCAGATGCTGTTCTCCGTTGCTCACAAATACAGCTGGCTGAAAAATGGTAACTCCTTCCCAGGAGGGATATCAATTTGTCGAAGAAAAACCCCAACACCCAGAAACCCCAGAAAAACAAAAACAGCAGAACCCAAACAATCCACTCGAGCCAGGACACCAGACGTGCAAACATTTCCCTGGGAAGGGAGAGCAGGAACAAGCCCAGACCAGGAGAACTGGATTTTCTCCACTCCCTGGCTACCTGCCTGCAGGACTTCCACCAACTGGCCTAGAGCATCCCTGAGAAAAGCCAGACCCTGGCTCAGCCCCTGGAGCTGTGAACATGCTGAGTGGCCTGGGAGGCTGTAAGGAAGCTTGGATCAAGAGAGCAACAGTGGCCAGTGCCTATCCTGGCAGCAGCCCAGGAGGCACCACTGGCATCCTCCTGACTTGGGCAGGGGCAGAGAAGGGGAACAATATCTGCATTGACCACTGTAGTGATTGAGTACAAAGAAAGAACAGAAAAGTCCTGGCAATGGCAAGGAAATCCCTTCAGTCTCCTGCCCAAATTTTGGAAAGACAGCATTTACTGCTTTGTCATTGAAATCTCCCCCCAAGGCTCAGGCAAACATTGGTTTTTCCTCTCTGACACCTATCCTGGTGGGGATTCCTGCTACCTCCAGTTGCATCATTTTGCAGAGAGTTGATTCTTTGGTCCTAGTGTTTTCCAAACCAGTCAACTACCCCAGGTACATATTTAAAATATAAAAGCCAGAATGGAATACAGTATATCTATGTATATACACACAGAGACTATATATATTATTTTTTCCCCTGACAGGCTATTTCAGCCCTTACCCCACACGTCGAGGTTGTAGTGCCTCTCCAGGTATCCAGGCACCTGGCAGGTGTATCTGCCTGCATCCTGCACAGTGGCTTGCCTGATCTGCCCAAAAAAGCAGAGACACACAGATGCTCTGCAGCAGAGCTGGACCCATGCAGCCCCTCCATGAGGGGATTTTATGCCAGAAGAAGCCATGGGGATGGAATCAGCATCAAGACTGGGGATGGTGCTGCACCATGGGCTGTGTCATCCCCTCCATTTTCCAAGGGTGGGGAGGGGGATGCAGGGATTTACACTGCTCCATTTCCTCTGCCAACCTCTGCAATATTCTGAAACATCACCTGGAGCACAGTCCCCTCCACAGACAGCTGCACATCTGGCTTTGGTGTGAGTAAACTCCCATCCTTCAGCCAGCGAAATCCCTGTGGGGAGACCCCAGGGGTGGGACACTCCAGGGACACTGGCTGGTTGACAACCACAGAGATGTTCTCCTCCTCAGCCAGGGTGATGGTTGGCACTGGAAAACAGATCAACAGGGCAACACCTTCCCTAAGCCAGCCACTTTTGTCCCCTTCCCTAGGGCTGTACCCCCACAGCTCCTGAGCTTGCAAGGGGATGGCAGAGCAGCCCCCTAGTCCTGAGCATCACCTCCAACCCCACAGCCACGCTGGTGGGAAGGGGCTGGGATGCACAGGGCTACTTACACCACACCTCGAGGGTGGCCTCGTGTCTGTCCTCCCCCATGGCACTGCTGGCTACACACGTGTACGTCCCTGAGTCCTCGAGGCGAGCGGTGGGCAGGGACAGCACATGCCCACCAGACAGGACCTGTGCTTCCCCAAGACAGAGAGAGCCCAGATGAGCACAGAACCAGACAAACTCACAGGCAGCTGGACTGCTTGCTGGCACACAGGGACAGGGGTGGGTGGGCACAAGCCTTGTCTGAGCCCATCCTCCTCACATCCTAGGGACCCTCTGCCCAACCGTGCCCTTTGTGGCAGGAAAATCCAGCACAGGACTGAACAGGTTCATGCCCCATGGACCAAACATGGGGCAGGTCTGGGTGACCTTGCACCTCCTCAGGTCTAGCAATTATTTCTTCAAAAGCCAGAACAAGGAAAAGGAGCATCTGCCTGGAGGGACATTGCAGGTGGTGCTCCCTCCAGCAGAAGCTGTCTCACCTGTGGGCCACCTGCTGTTTCACTGGGCACTGGATTGCCATCCTTCAGCCACAGCAGCACTGGAGCTGGGGTCCCTCTGGCATCACACTCCAGTGTCACTGGTTCATTCACCACCACTCTGAGAGGACTGGGGCCAACTGTGATCTGGGGGGGCACTGGGGGACAGAGAAATGTCACCAGGAGCAGAAGAGTGGGTAGGATACACCATAGTGGGTACCAGGCAATACCCATCCATGGAGCTATGGTTTTCTAGGACATTATTTGGGATGAACACGGGGGGATTGCATGCTTGGAGTTGCAGATGGGCAGAGGATGGGGGCTTTGCCAAAGCCATCCTCCAGGGATGTGTCCTGAGGACTGGAACAGCCCCATTGTCCCATGCTCACATGAGAGGTTCCAAGGGGGAGCACCCATCTCTCAGACAGCCAAAGCACACGCTCACCAGTGACCTGCAGGCTGTACCAGAGCTCAGTCACACCAGCCACGTTGGAGGCCACGCAGCGGTACCTGCCAGCATCAGAGAGCTGGGCATGCTGGATCTCCAGGAGCTTCCCATCCCTGGACAGGGTCTGTCCCAGTCTGCCTGAGAGCTGCTCATGCCCCTTGAACCAGGTGATGTCTGGAGGGAAGCAGGGAGCAGAGCTGTGAGTAGCATTGCTGCTGTCCCTCTCACCCAGGGAAAGTGCCAGAGATGCAGGAGCAAGAGCTGAGGGAGAGGACCAACTCACCAGGAGCAGGCAGCCCTGAGGCCAGGCATTCCAGGAAGGCTGTGCTGTTCTCCAGGATGACCAGGTCCACCATGCTGGGTTCAATGCTGGGAGGCACTGCAACCCAGTGTGCACTGTCACCAGCTCTGCATGGCCCAAGCTATGCAGTTGTACAGTGAAGGGCCATGGGATGGATGACAGGTCTTCCCCCAGATGCTGTGCTCACCATGCACTGAAACCTGCACCTCTGCCTGGGCCACGCCTGCCCAGTTGCTGCCCTGGCAGATGTAGAGCCCTTCATGACCAAGCCCCACACGGGTGATCAGCAGTGTCCCACCATCCTCAGACATCACCGCACCGTCCCGCTCAGCCAGGGGGTGTCCATCCTTCAGCCACCTACAAGGAAGGGGATAGGCACCAAATCCATGGTCTGTCCTGCCACCACACCAAAGGGGTGAACTGTGGGGTGCTGACAGCAAGGACTGTCCCCTTGTCACCTGGAATGGGGCTGGCAGTGCCCAGATCATTGAGCAGAGGACACCAAAGGCAAGGAGGAGAAATGGATGGGTCCCATCCCAAGCCAGAGATCCCTATCACCCGTGCTGGGAACACAGGCAGGACTCACCACTCTGCAGTACTCACTGGATCTGAGGTGAGGGGATGCCCATGACGTGACAGTGAATCCTCAGGGAGGTGTTGGTGACAGCTGTCAGGTGGCTTTCCCCATCACCAATCTGCACCTGGGGGGGAACTGGGGGGAAAGGGAACCTCAGACTGGGACCATCCTCAGACACTGGCACAGGGATGTGGGAGCAGTCAAGGGCTTGGAGTGTGCAGGACCCCAGTGGTACGTTAAGCCCATGGAAGGAGCATTTTAAGCAGGGACATGAACCTTGGACGTGCAGGCTGTAGCTGAGTGAGGTGTTCCCTGCGGTGTTCGTGGCTGTGCAGGTGTAGAGGCCACTGTCTGTCACCTGGGGCTCTGCCAGCCAGAGGGACCCCGAAGGGAGGATGCTGTAGCTTGGGGGAGAGGGAACGAAAAAGCTGGATGGGAGGAATAACCATGTCATCCATCATCATCTACCCCTGGGCAGGAGCTAAGGGCTGAGAGACAGCAAAGAAGAAGTACCCAAGGCCACCTCCCACACAAGGAGGGTGCCAGAGATGCCCATGGGATCAGATCCCTTTTCTTCAGCCCCTGCATGAGGCAGCACATGAGCCACCCACAGGGGAATGAAGGGGGATGAGGCTCCCCATGAGCACAGCCCCTGCAGCTGGAGCTGGCCATGCTCTCCCTCCCAGCCCTGTCTGTGCTCCACAGACATAACATCATCTCTGCCCACGGCTGCAGATTCCTCCTTGTGTGCTCCCATAAATCACCCAGCACGTGAGGACGAGCCAGCTGAGATGTGGGGAACAGCACAGGTCAACCAGGAGCAGCCATGGGAAACCAGACACAAACAACAAGGCAACACAGTCCCTCAAGAAGAGCAAAACCAAGATGCCTCCCTATTTCCCCAGCCCACATCAATCCACAAGTGCAGGGAAAGAAGTACTTAATGTCAAGATCAGGGCCTATGAGTTTAGGAAGTCCTTTCAGGCATGGTGCTAACATACCAAGAAAGCATGTCCTGCTTCTAAGGGGGAAGACCAAGACACCAGATAAACACATATCCAACCATTCTCCAGGTTATCTTCTCCCATCAGATCACATTGAGTGGCTGCCCCAGGAATATTTCAATGCCAAAAGCCCATGAAGTCACCCCAACACGGGGGCTGAGGGGCAACAGAGGCTGCAGCACACCCACCCTCCCTGGCTGCCTCTCCTCCTCCTCAGTGCCCTGCAGCCACCTGGGTGCAGAGCAGCATCAAGCCCCAGTTCACCACCTCCCTGGGGATCCTCCATCCCCAGAACCTCCAGCACCATGACAGCACAAGTCAGGAATGTGCACGAAGGCAAACAAGTGAGCAGGGTGAGGAGCTGCCTTGGAGCTGCCTTTCCTTCCCAATCCCAGCTCTGTGTCCAGGGTAGGCACGTGAAGGGTCAGAAGCAGCTGCTCTGTCCCAGCAGATGTTTGGATGATGGAAAACAGGCCTAGTGCTCTTCAAGGAGAGCAGAGCTAATTCTGTACCACTCAGCTATCTCAGCTCCTGCACTGAGCATTGGCCACATGATGCCAGGGATGCCCTTTCTATCTCCCTACCAAGCAGCTGAATTCCTTCATGGATGTGACATCTCTGAGGAGATAAAATCCCAGGAGATCAAAACCCCCAGCACCCACAACTCTCCTTACCTTGTGGTGACAAGAGGCAGTGGCTGGGACTCCCTGCTCCACACCACCAAGGGAGGGGGATAACCTTCAACCTCGCAGGGCAGAGTGGTCTCCTGCCCAAGCACAGCCCAGATGGTTACAGGGTCTGATGCCTGTGATCCATTCACACTGATCCTGGGCTTTGCTGGATGGAGAGGGAGTGCAGCTGGTGCAGGGACACTTTAGGTGCCCCCCAGCCCTAATTGCTTCTCTTCCCATCCTGCAAACCCATCTGGCACTTGGATAGGTGCTCCAAGGAAGCCAGGAGTGTTCCCAGGTCATGCTCTCCCAGTCAGCCCCCTCTGGAGCAGTCCTGGGCACTCACTGCTGATGGAGAGCTGCATCTCCCGGCTGGAGAAACCTGCTGCATTGGTAGCTGTGCAGAAGTAGGTCCCAGCGTCCTCGGGGGAGGATGAAGGGATCAGGAGGGTCCCATCGGGGTCAAGGTGGTAGTGTGGGCTCAGCAAAATGGGCTCTGTGCCCTGCAGAGGAAAGGGAAGGGAGGAGGGAAAACAGCAGAGACTCTTCCACAAGCTGAGCACTTCAAGGGCAAGAAAAGGACTCTGGGCCCCACAGAACATGCCATACCCCAGATTCCAGCTTCCCAGGGCACTTGGTGCCATCTCCCTGGGCAGTCACAGCCACATTGACAAGCTACACCCCTTTTACCCTGCCCTCACAGCTCAGCTGGCAGAGGGACTGTCTGTCCTGTTCCTGTCACCTACCTTTGCCCAGGTGACAGTAGGGGAGGGCACACCACTGGCATTGCACCTCAGGGTGACAGCTTCTCCCTCGGTGGCAGTGACAAGGACAGGGCCAAGTTCAATGCTGGGAGGAACTGGGAAGGAAAAGAAGCACCACATCCTGCATGGCCAGGGCCATGTCCACCAGAGAGAGTGGTGCTTACAGAGCACACAGGGCACCTGCTCCCCACAGAGTGGAGACACCTGGCACCCTGACACTCACCATGGATGACCAGGGACACGTCCTGCCTGTGTGAGCCAAGGGCATTGGTCACCTCACAGGTGTATCTCCCTGCATCTCCCTGTGATGCCTCATCCACGTGCAGGCTCCCGTCAGCCCGGATGGAGTAGCGTCCACCTGGGGCTACCTGGGCAGGGGCAGAGAGCAGAAAGCAGGACAGATGGTGGGGGGTCAAACATTACATATCACTGTGTCATTGGGGCACATCCAGAAACTGATCCTTGAGCAATAGGAACATCCTGATGTGATAAACCCATGTTACCCTCCCAATACAAATGCTCCTCTGGCAACTTTGGCCCTGGGAGGTTGGGGCATCCATCCTGCAGTGAAGACTCCACTGCAGGGCAGCTGCCCACCCACCCACCAGCCCACTGGGCATGGAAGGCTCACCATCTGCCCATCCTTCAGCCAGTGGCGAGATGGGAATGGTGTTCCAGCCAGGATCACACAGGGCAGCGACACGGGCTGGCCTGGGAGCACACGGACCACAGGGGATGCAAGAGCTATTTCTGGGGCTGCTTGAAAGAAGGGAAGGTGATACAATATTAATTGGTGACAAACTAGCCAGGCATGCTCAGGAGTATGGATCTGAATCACCTTTCTTCCAAGGTTCAGATCCTGGCTTGGCACAAGTCAGCTCTGACATTCATCTCCCCCAAGAATTTGGAGATATTTGCTGGTTCAAGTGTATATCAGTGTATTAAGCCAAAGAGGTGGAAGAGCATTACCCAAACCCTGCCCTGGGGTTTGCTGAGCATTCACTGTGGCCAGCTCAGGAGCAGATGTGGCTGCTCAGCTCTGCCAGCACAGCTGGGATGGATACACCAACCAAAGCATGGAAAAGCAAACCGTGTCCGGTGACTGTGAGCTTGACCTCCGCTTGAATTTTCCCAAATTCATTCTGGGCTTCACAGATATAGACAGCTTGGTCATCCAGTGAGACACCTGGAGCATGGTAAGGAGAAGCCTGAGTCTGGTGGAGCTGGATAACCCCAAGCAAACTCCAGGATGGGTGACACCACCCTTCCCAGCCCCACCACCACCTCTGATGGGGGACAGACCCAGCAGCACTGGAGGCTTGCAGGCTGCGGCAGCATAGCTAATCTTGCACAACGTGAAAATACAAATAAATGCATGCACACACAGCTCTTACTGTCAATGAGGAGCTCAGCAACCTCCAGATGGCTGGAAACACCCTGTGGTCCCTGCCAGCCTGCCATGGGCTTCCCATCCTGCCGGGACCAGGTGACCCGTGGCAGGGGAGAGCCCTGGACGTGGCACAGCAGGCTCACACTCTCCCCAGCCTTGACCTCCACATCACCCAGGGGCTCAGGAAAGTGAGGAGGAGCTGGAGGAGAGAGCAGTGGAGAAGGGGCTCAAGTATGTCCAACACCTCAGTTTCCCCATAGCATTCTGTGTACAGCCAAGCCTGGAGAAGGGATGGGGCTACAAAACCCATAAGCCAGGTGTCCTAACATGTTACAAGAGGGACTTAAAGCATTTGATGCTTTTCCAAAGCTGTCAGAGATGTTGCAGTTTCCATTCCCTTACACTCAGCATCCCCCAGCTCAGCAAATCCTCTTGTACTTTTCCACCTTTAACTGCCTTAAGCCCTACTGCCCCCAGCTCAGAACCTCCCCTCCTCCTTCCCATGCTCTTTCATCCCTTCTCCCTCTGGTGGGACTCCCTGAACACCAGTTGGGTTACCTGGATTTTTAGACACACAGAAGTCAGCCCACATCTCTGCCTAATCCCACTGATTGCACTTTGCATTCCCTGTTTGGGCCCAAGCCACCACGTTCCCATACAGTAGAAACTGCATGGTCCTCTGCCATTTGTTGAGCCTCCTGCATCCTCACAACCCTTAGAAATTCTGCCAGGCTTTCAACTGCTGCTTGTACCAAGCACCAGCATCCTACCACTGAGAAATCCGGGAGCAAGGGGAGACTTGGGAAGCAGGAAGTGGGAGCTGAGCCAGGAGGGAGAGTGGTGGAACAGACTCAAGTGCTTGATGGGACCCAACAGTGGGGCAAAGACTTACACCCTATGTCCAACACGGTGCTGTCCAAGGCAATGCCAGCCTTGCTGAGAGCCTCACAGAGGTACTGCCCTGCGTCCTCCTCCCGCACGTCCTGCAGCCGCAGCACAGCACGCTGGGTGCCGAGTGGGAATGTTGCTATCGCCTGCTCACCTGCCCCAAGAACCCTCACATCAGCACCCCAAGCACCTCTGTGGGTCCCTCCTGATGTCAGGCCAGAGAGCTCTGAGTGAGGTCCTTGCAGGGCAGCAGACAGGCCCCAGTGCATGGAGAGTTCTGCTCCCCAGGTCTGTGCCAGCCTCACCTTTGTACCACACGATGTGGGGTGGGGGTGCCCCTGAAACCCAGCACTCCAGGGTCACATCTTCTCCCACCAGTGCCTTCAGGCTGGGTGTCACTGCCAGGATGGCAGGAGGCTCTGTGCCACGGGAAGAGAGATGGCTTTGGTCTCCAACAGTCATGCCATTCACCCTAAGGGGACCACGGAGCCCTGGGAACTGCCCCCCAACCCTCCATCACACACAGCCCCATTCCCAGTGTGCTGCTGGCCAGCAGGGAGCAGGTACCAGAGAACTCCAAGGTGATGACTTGCTCGTCCCAGCCCAGTGCACTGTCAGCATAGCAGCTGTAATTCCCTGCATCCTCTGGGACCGCAGCCCTGATGTGCAGGGCACCTCCAGCATCCCTGAAAACCCTGCAGTCAACAGGGAGAGAGGGAGAAATGAGCCCGGTAGAAACAGAGATGATGAAAGAAGTGAGCAGGCTTCAGGCCATTCCCGCACATGTGGCAAGTGCTGAGCATGTGATGGATGTGGGTCAGCACTCAGAGACAGCTCCATTGCCTGCTGCAGGGAAGGACTTTGATTTGAACCAGGGAAAAGCACTGGGAATTGGGCTTTTTCATCTCCAAAGTAAAAAAGCCTTCCCCAAAGTCCACTCTGGCACTCACAGCCTGACACAGGCAGGAGGTGGAAAGCAGAAAGCAGAAGAAATTAAGGGAAAGCACAAGGAGTATTTTGAGGCTTGAGCACACACCAGGTGTGCAAAGCACTGCCAGTCCCCTCGGTGGGGACGGTGACCTGGATAAGGCAGGACAGCTTAAAAATAAGTATATGAAATTAAGGCTAGCAGCGTGCCAAGGAGCTCAGGTGCACACACAGGCTGGGACACTGCAATGCCTTCCTCTTTCCAGAGATACAGCAACCCCAAGCCCCTCTCCCTCAGCCCATACATCCCTGCAAGGGGAGCATCATCTCCAAAGGACAGGTAAGATGGAGGTGCTCAGGTCCTCACAGGTTACCTCTCATCCTGCTCCAGTGCCCAGCCCCAGCGTTTCCAAGTGGTGTGGGGTGGGGGGTGGCCCCCAGCAGTGCAGTTCAGCTGCAGCTCCTGTCCCCTGCTGAAGCGCTGGGGGCTGGGGTCCACCTTCACCCACGGCGCCTCTGCACGGGGTTGGAGCAGAGCTCAGTGCCCAGGTGACATTCATCACACCCCCACGGGGCAAAGCACCACCTGGGCCAGGGTGCCACAAGGGGCAAAGCCTACCCTGGATGAAGAGCCAGAGTGATGCCCTGGCAGTGCCGTGGGCACTACGTGCCATGCACTCGTACTGGCCCCCGTCCTCCGGCCGCACGCAGCTGATCTCCAGAGAGTGGTTCTGCAGCACCTGGGCCCTGCCATTCCCTGGCTGTACTGCTTTTCCATCCCAGCTCCATGTCAGGTTGTAGGGCACATCCCCCAGAACCAGGCAGGACATGACCACGTCTTGGCCTGGTGAGGCTGTGATGTTGCCTGGGACTATGAGCCGTGGTGGTGGCTCTGCAAACATGGGACAACAGGATGAAACAAGCCTATGCCCAGTCACAGACCTGGAGACCTCTGAGCACCAAGGTCTTGGCATGAGCAGCCCCCACCTGAGACAGAGACATAGGCATGAGCCCGTGTCACTCCAATCTTGCTCGTGGCTGTGCACTCATAAAACCCTTCGTCACTCTTGGACACCACAGGGATCAACCAGGTGATGTTTCCCAAATTCCTACAAAAAGGGAGACATGAAAAGGTGGGTCACCCCCACCTTGGGATTGCCATGCCACCACCCTGATCCTAATCCCTGGGACATTTTTCCATCCAAGTCAGACAAAGTGGTGCACCCCACCCTCCAGCAGACATGTCCCTTAGAATTTTCCTTTTGGGATGCTCAGAACTTGCAGGCACCCAGTCAACACACAGCATCCCCCCAGCCAGCCCAGCTCAGGAGCTGCACTGCCCACATGGGTTCCCCATGGAGCTCACTGAGCCACACCAGGGGCTCACCTGAAGAGCTGCTCTTCCCCAAGCATCATCCTGCCACGGCTAAGCTGCAGGTGGAAAGGGACCTCACTCCGTGCAGAGCAAGAGATCAGCTGTGGTTCACGGTTGTAAGCCTGGATCTTGTTGGAGATGTTCATTTTGGGTGGACCTAGAAGTAGTTGGGGATATGCATACATGTAACAACCCTTCAGAGCCCATGAGGAGCTGTGCTGGGAAGCAGGATGAAAATTAGCCAAGGAGAAACCAAAGCAGAGGCAGTGCTGGAGCCTCTGGTCCCTGCTCAGCACCCATGGGGAGTATGAGTTCCACTCACCAGGAACCACACTGGTGTAGGTGACCCCAGAGAGGCGGTGCAGGGGGTGGCCCTGGGCATCTTCACCCTTCACCTTCAGCAGAAAGTCACCTGTGGGGACATGGAGTGGTGAGCCCACCCAGAGCTGCCCCAAGGAGGAGTTGGAGAGGGGCCGCACAGGCAGTGAGAGCAGGACATGGCCAGAGGTGTTGAATAGCTCAATCTCCTGCAAGCGCCCAGGCAGCCTCAGACCAGTGCAGTTCACCACCACGGAGATGGGCAGACCTGGAAAGAGAGGTAAAAAACAACCAGCCACGTTCCTGGCTGCAAGACACTCAGGCACAGCGTCCACGCCCCTGGGCAGCACCAGCCTCACCCTGCACTGGTTGCTCTCCAGGCCAGCTGGCATCAAATTCTGGCTGGGTGGAGAAGGTGGCTTGAAAATTAACGTTGCTGATGCCTGTGATCCTCACAGAGTGGCGACCACTGCTCCGGGTCTGGAAGCAGATTGAGAGGCACATACTGAGTGCAAGGGAAGGGAGAGGTGAAGGGAAGGGAGGAGGGGTCAGACAGCCTCTTCCAGCCTGCTCACACATCCTCTGCCCCGTGGGAGGTGAATGGGCAAAGCCCACACCCAGCAAAGCCTGTCTAGATAACACATCCCTCAGGGACAGGCAAGGGATGTGCAGGGTCTGCCACCAACCTACCGTGACCAGCCACGTCCCTGGCTCATAGGGCTCCATGGCCACCACCAAGGCTGAGTTGGGGATGCTGAGCAGTTCCTTCAGACCTCGACCTTTCTCCAGGACCTTTCCTGCAATAGTAGGTGAACCTCTGGGATGGACAATGCAGGACCAACCCCTGGTCCCTGCAGCAGCCTGGACCTCCACCCCTCTGGGCTCAAGGTAGTGCAGAGCTCAGCACAGCTCATAGCCAAGGCAGCAGGGAAAACCCAGGAGGGGAGCAGGGAGATGCACTTGTTGTTTACTGAAGGCTTTGTAGCTGATCCTCCCCCACCCCTTTTTGTTTTTTTGAGTTTTCAGGGCAGGTTTTGGTGGTTCCCTCCCTTTCCTGTTTGCCCTGACCTTATGTCTCTTAGGAGGCAAAACATCACCCCTTGCCATTCCCCTCTCCTGGGCTCCTACCTGCTGGATCCTGAACCTTGATCCCTGGAGCAGGGCCACTCAGGGAGATGGTGACCTCCTTCAGGCTGGGGTCAAAGGAGACTGGCCACGTGTGCTCCCCACCATCCTCATGGTCTGTGGACAGCAGGTGGACCTTGGAAGCCTGGATGGCCTCTTCCACCCACTTCAGCACCTGTGGGCATGGGAGTTGTTCAGGGATGGGTGGGCAGGAGGTGCTGGCTCAGGTTGAGGTACCACACTTCAGCCACTCCATCCCTGCTCCCACAGGTCTCCTTACTCACCTCTGTCACCTGCTGCTTGTCCAGGTGGAAGATCTGCCCAGAGCTGGTGGCAGCGATGCGCTCGTACACTCGGTACCCAGGGTGGCTCCTGTCCCCGCAGTCCCCCGTCAGCACAAACACCACCTGCCACAGAACAGTCCCTTCTGGACAGCCACCACGTGTCTGTCCAGCCCCACCAGCATCCCAGTACATCGGGCCAGCCCAGGGGATGCAAAATTCCCCCCACTCCCAGGCAGCACAGGGGGTTTATCGCTGAGTCTCACTGTTGGCTGCTGCAGCATCCCCCCAGGGTGGCTGTCACAGGAGGCTGGTGGGCAGCACCACTGCCACTCACCTGGGTCTGCTTGTGCTGCAGCAGCCTCAGCAGCTCCTCCTGCTGCTCGTAGTCCTTGGCCCGAGCATCCGAGAAGACGTAGACGAAGGAGCCAGGGTGAGAGATCTCCACAGCCAGTCTGATGGCTCCCACGCTCATCTCCGGGCAGTCCCCTCCGCCCTGCAGCACACAGCAAGGGACAAGGCACAGGCTCTGGGCCACCTAGTGCTCAGCCTCTCCCTGCCAGGCTTCCAGCAGGATCCCATCCAGGGTCTGCTCACGGAGAAGAGCTACACCAGTTTGTTGGAATCAGCCCAGGGCAGCATGATGGAACTGCAGGGACACACAGGATCACACAGACCCGTCCCTGTCTCACCTCCAGTGATTATTAAACCACCCATTTGGGGATCCAGGCTCACAGAAGCTGTTGGTTTCCCCCTATTACCTTTAGCAGGCACATTCATGCCCACCCCAGCAGCAGAACCAGTACCCCCCAGCAAGGACAGAAGCACAGCAAGGACCAGCTCCTGCTTCCCCAGGGCTTGGCACCCCAAAGGGCTGGAAAACCATTTACAGCCACAGCTTTACAGCTCCTGCCAAAACAGCTGCATCTGAAGGGAAATGCCACAGGGATTTAACAATGCACAGGAGGCAAGGCAGGAGCAGGGATGGATAAAGTAGGATTATACTCCCAGGAAGCATTTCAGCTGGCAGAAAACAGACAAAACTGTTCTTAAAAAAAATTTAAACTCATTTTTCAAGCAGTGCTTCTAGAAGAAGAGATTTTTGGTTCCACAGAGAGTCTGTGCAAACTCTCCTGGGGAAAATATCTTCCTTTGGGAAAAGAGCTGTGATCTGGGAATGCTCTGCCCCATAGCACAGCACCAGCATTACCCACCCAGTCTGCTCAGCCCTGAGCCTCCACCACACTCCTGGGGGATGCAGGGATTGCCCCTAGGACCCACCACTGTACAGTGCCAGGCTTCCCACCAAGTGCCATGGGCCAGGCACTGAGCCAGCCCCAGCACAGTGCCTACCTGGACATGGAGCTCCCGCAGGCGCTGCTGGAAGAGCTGAGGGTCTGCGGTGAGGGTGGCAGGTCCCACCTCTGAAAACACACCAACACCACTGTCTCAGCCCCCTGACCGTGGCACCAGCCTGTTCTGGTGCCACCCATGCTGCCAGTGCTCCCGAGCATCTGCCCCAGCTCAAACACCTGCAAGACTCAGGGTTCAGCATCTGCCCTGGCTTGGCACCAGGTGAGAGGTGGGTTTGGGCAAACCAGCCCCTGTGCCCATACTGTGACCATTTTGGAAAAATATTCCCATGCCCAAGAATTTCTCCTGACACACCAGGTGGTCCTAGCCAGGGTGATCTGCAAACTCAATGATCTTTTCTGCTGTGGGAGACTCCCAGCAAAGCAATGCAGAAACTCAATCACTGCCTCTGCCTCCTTCCCTGTCTGACTCCAGTGATTTTCATTCAACTCAGTGTTTCTGTTGAAAATAAAGCCTAGGTCCTGCTCTCCTTGTAGGAGGTCAAGGTTCTTTTGGGAAACAGCTGCTCTTTTATGGGTGTGCACAAAAAGCCTAAGGCAAAGACTGGGACAGAAAGAAATGATTCTAGTATTGCAGTGAATTATCAAAACCTCCTAGGGAATGGTACTTTTATTGAGGTGACCTGGAAGCATGTTGTGGTCTTGTATAGAAATGCCCTCCTATGATTAGACTGGGAAGATCAGAACAGGATGGAAGTGGAAGAGCCACCCACCAGTGGGTGCCAGCATCCCTGGGATTAATTCAGTAGGAAACAGCTTATCCTGTGCCTGCAAGGTGTCTTAGGCACAGGAACCCCAGCCCAGCTCCATGCCCTCAAGCTGCAACTCATCCCGTGCTGCCATCCCCATCACAGAGTTCACCAGGGCAATAAAAACAGGGAGAAGGGACAGTGCAGGCACTTGTGGAGCACATACTTCAGTCCCAAACCCAGCCAGAACCACAGCCCAGCTCCCTGAAGCCCCATCCCTGGCAGGACACGTGTCCTCACCCTGTCCCACACGTACCTGGGTCATGGAACGGGACCAGTGCGTAGTTGCTGATGGGCTTGGTGCTCCTGCTGAGTGTCCTCTCCAGGATGCGTGAGGCTCCGTCCATCACCTGCACCAGGTCGTCGTACATGGAGCCAGTGACATCGAACACAAAGGCAAGAGTGGCCCAACCTGTGCTCGGGGGTGTCTCAGCAAGACTGGGGGCCAG